AGGATTTCTTTACTTTAGAGCAGGGTTGGCAGACTGCAGTTAGCAGACCAAATCACCACCTGGTTTTATAAATAAAGTTTTATTGGAATACAACCATGCTCATTTGTTGGTATAGCCTCAGCTTTCATGCTTCTATGGCACAGTTAAATAATTGTGACCAAGGCAATATAGCCCACAAAGCTGAAAATATTTGCTATCTGGCCCTTTACAAAAAAAGTTTGCCAACCCTGCTTTAGAGTTCTGCTTACTGTATTACTCGTCTTCTGAGTAACAAATACCCCAAAACCCAGAGGCTTAAAAGAACATACACTTTTATCTCACAGTTACTGTAGTTAGGGACATCGGTACAGCTTAGCTGGGTCCCATGGCCCTCATAAGACTTCAGTCAGGGTATTGGCCAAGCCTCATATCATCTTAAGGTTCAGGTAAAGGTGGACCTGCCTCCACGTTCACACAGGCAGTTGATGGTGGGATTCAGTTCTTCGTGGACCGTTGGATGGAGGCCCTCAGCTCCTTGCTGACTATGGCCAGAGGTCTGTCATGGTTCCTATCCACAAGGCAGGTCACAGCTTGGCAGTTGGCTCCCCTAGAACCAGCAAACAAGGGCAAGGAAGAAGCGAGCTGGCAGAATGGAAGTCACCATTTCTTGTGATCTAATCTGGGAAGTGGCATCCCATCAGTGTTATTGTATTCTGCTCGTTAGAAGTGTGGTCCAGCCCACACTCCGAGAGACAGAACTGCACATGGGCATAAATACCAGGAGGTAGGCACCACTGAGAGCTTAGAAGTCTGCACCACACACAGATAGGTAGACCAGTTTGTGAGCTCCAGAATCAAAAGATAAAAACCAGTAAATAGCCTCTAGTTTAGTTTATATTGCAGTTTCATCCCTTCACAGCCTGAGCTTTTTTGCATCTTCCTTTCTCTCTTGTGGCAGCCATTATTATTATATTACATTACATTACATTACATTACATTACATTACATTACATTACATTACATTACATATATTATTCCAAGCCTGTATCAGTCCCTTCCAGAATGGTTTACCAAGGAGTTTTTGCCTTCAATTTATACAGAAAATGGGAATCTTGGCAGCCCTAAGAGGCCGGAAAAAACCTGACATCCCAGAATCTAGAAATTTTAGGTAATTTTTTAGTCCCAGTAATATGAAAACCAGCTCTGTTGAATCCTCTTGGAATTATACCCATTCAGATTTGTAAAACAGTAAAATGTCTAGAATATTATTGGTTAACCACTTGTACAGAAATCCTTTTTTGGTTAACCCGTTATTAACTGAGCTTACATATTTTAGGGTAATTTTTAGAATAATCATAAGTGAATACTTAAAGTTCTTTTTTAATTAGATCAAATTACATAGCATTTTTTTCGCCACATTTACAGCATGAATAAAATAAATCCATATTATCCTTTCTTATCACAAAGAAAGAGCTGGGCAGTCAAATTGAGTACTTCATTCCTGTGTCTAACAAAGTCTTCCAACATCAGCATGATAGGTCCAATTCTATTTTCAGGGTCACTTATTGAGAACATAAATTTTAAAATGAAATGCTTTTTAATTTTCACAGTGGTTCAAGAGTCAACCTACTAAAAGATACTCAGGGAGGGAGCATGGGTACCACATTATTGGTAACTCTTGAGCCTGTGAGGAGACAGTGGTTACAGACTTCACAAGAATGGCTATTCTACTTGATATCCTTCCCATTGATGCTGTTTGGAAAAAAGGAAGGAGACTGTGTCTGTATTTTTTTCTTCTTCAATGTTTTTATTGAAGTATAACATATATATAGAAAGACAGTCTTTAAAATTAACTTTAAAAGGTGGGCATTGATCTTGGGGTTGCAAGATCATAAAACTACAGGCTTCCAGCTGGGCAGAACCTTTATAATCTTTCAAAAGCTTACCCCCACATCCCTGCAAATAGCAGGTTTACATTAAATATGAACATTATCTTTTCAGAGGCAACACATTCTTTTTTTTAACACTCCTGGTATCTCAAACAAAAATTATTCCTTGTAATGAGCTTATGTAATAATTTCTGGCTTTTGGAAGCTGCTCAGAATGACTTCAAGTGAATGTGTTGATCTCTCTGGATCTTGCCTTCTGCAGTTGGATGGCTTGCAAGCAACCCCATCATGCTATGCCATCTCTCCAGTCACTGTTTCCGGTGAAAGATGATGCCCAGAAGTGCTCCCTGTTCATGGTTGGCCTGAGCAGGGACCCATGTAGCTGAATAAGCATTAGATTTTGTACTACCTTGGTTTCTTCTACGTGTAACACCTAAACACCGTGGACTGAACAACAGCAATTGCAGGATTGAGGGCTAAAACCCAAGAAGCCGTGAACCTGGCACAATTGGTCTCAGTATCTGTATTCATAGAAATGATGGCACTTGCAGCCATTCTCATTTCTCGCTTTGGCTTTATCGAGGGTAGGGAGAGACAGAGAGGTGCGGCATTGTGAGACCAGGCTATGCCATTAGGCAGGTGCAGTTTATATCCTGACTCTGCCCCCTTACAAACTTTGACTTTGGAGAAAACTATTCCCTTGAGCCTCCACTTGTTATTTTTAAAGTGAAGAGAACAGTTACCGCCCACATCGTAGGGTGTCGCTACTGCTGTGGTTATTATTGGGGCAGGAAGTGGCACATGCCATCTGTAGCCTGCTGAGTTGAAGGTGGCTGTGGAGCATCCCAGCAGAAGCATCTGCTTGGAACTTGGTCTCAGAGGTAATAATTGGGACAAGCAGAGAATCCCGAGGTCAAGGCCAAACAATAAGGCAGCCAGCAGATAGCATGACAGAAAGCAGTAGAAGGTGTGGTTAGCGCATCCCAGCAGGCGGGGCTGGGCAGAGCAGAGGCTGAAGAGTGCTCACAGAGCCTGGACTTGAGGACATTGTTTGTGATCTTGGCAAGAACAATTTGTGTGAAACACAACCACTTCTGACTGAGACCAAGTCACTATGGCTTAGAGTAACTTTCACATTAGACTGTTAGTAGTAGCCATTAACTAGTGAGTGTACTGGGGGCCTTTACTCTTTAACCTGTATTTTCCCTGTTTAATTTTTAACAAGAAAAAAGTATGCATGTATTGTATGGTGAGTTTTTTTTTTTTTTTTAATATGTAGAGTTACAACCAAGAAGGCAGTATTTTTGATGAAAAATGAATAACACTTGGGAACATGGTGCTTGAAAGTGTCTCTGGGCCAAGGTCAGAATGCCCATAGACCTGAGACGGCAGTGCTGATCCATGTTTGCCAGGGTTCCAGATGTGATCATGATGTCTTGTGTGCCCTGGTGATTGGCAGTGCTTGCTACAGTTTTCCAAGTAAGGCAACACTGGGCAGAATAGGAGCAAGCCCCAGTTTGTGTGATTCTAACTCGTACACTGTGCTGCCTCCTCAAAAAAACAGAGAGGGGGAAGAAAATGAGGAGACATTTGGTGAAACCAAGTGCCCAGGAGGTGGAGTGGGCCAAGACCCAGTTTGGTAGATAAAAGGATGGACACTCTACAGGTATGCAGATGTGGGTGAGTTGGGAAAGATGGAGAGGCAGGATACAAGCTTTCACTTGAACTTAAGGAGCTGACTTGAAGCCACATGTGTGTTTAGGGAAGTTTTTATTTGAGCTAAGCCGTCATCTAAGACTGATAGGGGGAAGTGGTAGGGTAGAAACACAAACTAGACAAAGTTTGTAGTAGTCAAATTCCATGTCGCTGAGAACGTTGTAGACAGGGGGCGTCAGCAGGGGCAGGAAACTTGCATTTGCACGCTGTCCCCTTCAGCAATGTTGGAGGCCCAGCCGAGGACTACCAAGGCACTGCCTCAGGTTTGTGTCACTTTCTCAGTTGTACCCTGCAGCCCAGCGGTGAAGAGTGAAAAGTGGATAATTGATGAAGTTGGACAGTGCTGGAGTTCTGTGGGGCAGGGACAGCAAAAAGACAGGGAGTGAGGATGTTACAGGAGTGCTGGCAGGAGAGTAGTCAGGTATTGTGCTGGACAATGTGGAACTAGCAGCATGGGGGAGGACCTTTAGTCAGAAGGAACCTCACAGATGGAGAACATGGATGAGTCAGGGATGGGAAATCTGACAGGTTGAATTTTGGGGAATGGTGGGAGCAAGGAATGTTCAGAGACTAAGATCTAAAAAGGGGGTGTGAGAGTAAGGTTTCAGAGGAAAAGCAGTTCTGGGCAATACCAGGTTCATAGGTGCAGCCTTGGAAATGGGATGCCAGAGTAAGCTAGAAGTGAGGTCCACAGTCCTTATACAACATTCTGGGAGGCTTATGTGTTTGGGAATTCAGAATTTTGGAAAGGTATGCAGTGCATACACCACACAATGCATTAGACTGTAAAAGTAGGTGAACATCAGATCAGCCATCAAAAATATATAGTCATATTAAATTTTGTTTCTAAATGAGTTCGGAAAGAAAAGCTTTGAGAGTTTTTTGGATTTCAGAGTTCCAAATAAGAGATTGTCAACCTGTATAAGGCATGGGAGGTCGAGGGTAAAAGGAAGTCCGTAAGTGTGATGCCAGCACCCCTGAAGCCTTGGGAGATTCTTTCTGGAGGTCACAGTTGGTGATTCTCTAGAGGTGTTCCAGAGATGCCTCTCTCCGGTGCTGTCCCTGATATAACAGGGCCTGACGTGGGACCACACATGTTCAGAGAACCCATTTGCTAGTGGTTGAAACTTCCCTGAAGTAATTCTTTTGGGTGGAAATTAAATGAAATGATTTAAAATGGGAGAGAGCCAACTAACTAGCTCAGACTAGCAATTCATTTCAGAGCAACTAGCTCAGACGAATTCATTATACAGCATTTAGTAAAAATAAAGACTAAGTAAATGGCTAGGACATGCTTTTTACATTGATAATTCATACTGTGCCTACATTTAAAACAGATTAGAGGTAGTTTAAATTATCAAAGCACATACAAAACAATGAATAAAAGTCAGAAATGGTTTTTGGTGTTTCATCTGTTTTTTAGTTATGGTACTAGCAGCAGAAACCTAGAATAAAGTTAGCTGTTACCATTAAGTGTTAAATTGAACTGCAAATTTTCTAGCAGTTATGGTTGAGGAAAATGTCATGTAGTTCTCCTGAAGGAAAATGGGGCATAGGAGTTCATCTGAAAAAAAGTTTGCAGGCATTAAATTCCTGCCTGAATCTGAGGACATCAAATAGCAGAATGGACATAGTGTCTCTGTTGGAGTCTATGGCAGTGTTCTTAACGTAGATGCTTTCTATCGGCCCCTTGTCAAACCCAACGTCTTCACATTGAATGAGAACTCCTCACTTATATTGTGCCTCTCAGATGAACATTCAGCCTCTCCCACATGCACAGCATTTATGGTGACCATGGGTAAGTATAGCTAGTGGGTGGTTCTCTACTATAAATATTTAGCAGCCTAAGTGTTCTTACACAAACTGAGGTTAGCCCCAAGGTACCCTACAGTCAGAGACAAATGTTTTTGTCAATAAACAGTTCTGGTTTTTGGTTTTGGGTTTTGGAGAGTTTTTTGTGTTTGTTTTTTGTTTTTTGAGACAGAGTCTCACTCTGCCACCCAGGCTGGAGTGCAGTGGTGTGTTCTCAGCTCAGTGCAGCCTCCCAGACTTAAGGAATTCTTCTACCTCAGCCTTCCAAGTAGCTGGAATCACAGGCATGTACCACCATGCCAAATTTTTTTTTTTGAGGGGGAGAGTCAGGGTCTCCTTGTGTTCCCCACACTGGGCTCAAGCAATCCCCCACCTCAGCCTCCCAAAGTGCTAGGATTACAAGCATGAGCCACACTGTATCTGGCCACTTACTGTTTTTTAGCTTTTTATTTTGAGATAATTGTAGATTCTCATGCAAATAATGAATTCAGAGATCCCATATACCTTTTACCCAGTTTCCCTCAATGGCAACATATTGCAAAACCACTGTACAATATTACACCCAGGATAGTGATGCTGATAACAGCCAAGACACAGAACATTTCCAAGTGCACGGGAATCCTCATGGGCCCTTTTCTGGCCACATCCACTTCCCTGCTTCTTCAGCCTGCCCCTTAGTCTGGCAACTATTTGTGATCCCGTTTAAGTAATATTCTTGAAATGACAAAATTGTAAAAATGAAGGAGATTAATGGTCGCCATACTAAGGAGAACTTTCCCCAAAAGGAATGTACCCTTTGGATTTTTCTGAATCAGTTTAATTATCTGGAGATTTACCAGTTTGTTCCTTTTTATTGCTGTGTAGTAGTCCATCATATGGCTGTACCATAGTTTTTTTTAGTTATTTGCTCATTGAAGAACATTTGGATTATTTCTAATTTAGGGCTGTTACGTATAAAGATGCTATAATGTTTGTGTACACGCTTTTGTATGAACATAGAACTTCATTTCTCTGGGATATGTGCCCAGGAATGAATTTGTTGGGTCTTATGATAGTTGCATATTTCATTTTTTAAAGAAACTGCCAAAACGTTTTCTCTAATGACTGTGCTGTATTGCATTTCCACCAGCAATGTAGGAGTGATCTAGGTTCTCCACATCTTCACCAGCATCTTCATTTTTTCTGTTGAAGCCATTCTAATAAGTGTGTAGTGTTGCCTCTTTGTGGTTTTTATTTGCAGTTATTTTCTAATGGATAATGATGTTGAATACATTTTCATGTGCTTATTTGCAATCTGTATGTTTTCCTTGGTAAAATATCTTCTTCATGTCTTTTGCCCATTTTTAAAATTGGATTGTCTGGGGGTTTTTTACTATTGATTTTGAGAGTCATTTACATATTCTAGATGTCAGCTATGTGGTTTGCAAATATTTTTTACTTGTCCATAGTGTGTCTTCTTATCCTTCTGTAGTCCACGATTCATTTTGAGTTCATTTTTATATGAAGTGTGAAACTAGTTTGGAGTTCACTTTGACTTAAAGTGGGGGCAAGATGTTAATTTTTAACTCACTTCCTAATAGTTACAGGGCTGCTCACATCATCTGTTTTGTATTTGGTGAGTTTCGATAATTGTGTTTTTCAATCAAGTGGTCCATCATTTCATCTAAGTTATCACATTTATGTGAAGAGTTGTTTGCAATATTCCCTTACCATCATATGATGTCCATAGGGTCTGTGGGAATATCCTATTTCATTTCTGTTATTGGTAATTTGTGTCTTTTTTTTTTTTTTTTGGTTGGTTGTTTATTTGTTTGGGGGCTTTTTGTCAGTCTTGCTAGGTTTGTCAGTTTTATTGATCTGTTCAAAGAATAGCTCTGTGTTTCACTCATTTTTCTTCATTGCTTCTCTGATTCAGTCACAGTGCCTTCTGTTCTTATCTTTATTATTATCCTCCCCCTGTTTACTTAGGTTTATTTTTCTGCTCTTTTTTTAGGTACATGAGGTGGGAGCTTAAATAGTTAATACAAGGCTTTTCCCCCCTTTTCATGTGTGCTTTTAGTGCTATAAATTTCCTTCTTAGGCCTGCTTTATTGATGTCCCACAAATTTTGATATATGGAACTTTCAATTTCATTCCATTCCATTTTTTTTTCTTTTGAGACTTTCGGTGACCCATGAATAATTTAGAAGTGTATTGCTTACTTTTCAGTCTTCCAAGATTGGAGAGTTTCCTATCTTTTTGCTGTTGCTTTCTACTTTGAATCCACTATAGCTGGAGAATACATTCCAAATTATTTCACTTCTTTTAAATGTGTTGAGGTTTGTTTTACGGCCCAGGATGTGGTCTGTCTTGGCATATGATCCATGGGCACTTGAAAAGAATGTATGTTCTCCTGTTTTGTGTGGACTAGTTTATAAATGTCCATTAGAGTATGTTGATTGATAATAGTGTTAAGTTCTTTCATTTCCTTTCTGATTTTCTGTCTAGTTGTTCTACTGTTGAGAGAAGGTTGTTGATATCTCCAAATGTCATTGTAGATTTCTCTTTTAAATGTTTCTGCTTTATGTAGTTTGTAGTACTTTTGTTTGATGCATTTACATTTAAAATTGCTATAATTTCTTGGTGTATTGACCTTTTTATCATGATATGATAAAATGTTCTTCTTTGTTTCTAGTAATTTTCTTTCCTCTCAAGTATATCTAATATTAATATAGCCATTCCCGCTTTCCATTAATTAATGTTCCCATGATTTTTTTTTCCATCCTTTTACTTCAGCCTGCCTACGTCATTATATTTGAAGTAAATTTTTTTAGACAACATGTAATTAGGTCATGAGTTTTAATCCAGTCTGCCAGTCTCTTTCTTTTTAATTATGTGATTAGACCATCTATTTTAATGTACTTATTGATATGTTAGGACTTAAATCTGCCATTTGATTTTTATTTTGTTTTCTCTATTTTTCCTGTATTCTTGTGGGTTACTTGTATATTTTTTAGAATTCTGTTGTGATTTATCTGTAGCATTTTTGAGTGTATCACTTCAGATAGCTTTTTTAGTGGTTGGTCTAGGTATACATTATATGTGTATAACTTATCATGGTCCTAGGGTCATCATTTTACCATTTCAAGTGAACTATAGAAACCTTATCTCCCTTTGTTTCTTTGCCTTCCACCAGTTGTCTTAAATATTACCTTTACATACATTTAGAACCAAATCAGATAGTGTTTGAAGTTTTGCATCAATCATCAAACATAATTTAGAAAACTGAAGATATGAAGGAAATCTTGTTTTATTTATATTTTTTTCCTAATTCTCCAAGGTTCCTTCTTTCATCATTTCATTTCTGTTTTGATAACTTCCTTCAGCAGTTTTCTAACGGTAGGTCTGTTGGATATGAATTCTCTGAGTTTTCTTTCATCTGAGAATGTCCGAGTATTCCTGAAGGATATTTACATTTGAGTATAAGATTCTGGAATGACACTTGTTTTCTTTGAGTACTTGAAAAATGCTTCCTTTTAGTCTCCATGGTTTCTAATGAGAAATCTGTCATTCTAATTGTATTTTCCCTCTAGGTAATGTGTCATTTTCTCTGGCTAATATCAAAAGTTTTTTGTCTTTAGTTTTCACAAGTTTGACTCCCCTTTCTGTACACCCCATTTTGAGGTTTGCTCTTTTTTTTTTTTTTTTTTAATCTATAGGCTTAGTCTCACTAAATTTAGGACGTTTTCACCCATTGCTTCTTTATGTACTTCTTCAGTCCTCACTTTCTCTGCTTTCCTTCTGAGAGTTTCATCATGCACACGTTAGATCTTTTGTTACAATCACACAGGTCCCTGAAGCTCGGTTTTGTTGTTGTTGTTGTTGTTGTTGTTGTTGTTGTTTTTTGAGGGGAGGTCCATTTTCTCTCATGATTTCTAATTGTCTATATTTGTTTACTGATTATTTCCTGTCTCCTCTGTTCTACTGTTGAGATTTTTCAGTTCTAAAATTTCCATTTTGTTCTTCTTTATAGCTTATATTTCTTTGTTGAGGCTTTGTTTTTTTCAGTCGTTTTAAGCATGTTCATAATTGCTCATTGAACAAGCGTTTTTATGATGGCTTTGTCAGATAATTCCAGCATCTCTCTCATCATGGTGTTGGCATCTGTTTATTGTTTTGTTTGTGTTTTCATTTAGTTTGAAAAGTTTGATTCTAGTTATGGAGAGTGGCTGTAGGTTGAAACCTGGATCATTTGAGTGTTAATGTTCTGAGACTGTATCTTACCTAAACCTTCTGTTTTAGCTGGCTTTCTCTGACTACTCTGGCAGAGGAAGAGGAAGGGGTTGTACCACCTTTTCATTGCCAGGTGGAGTTAGAAGTCCTGGTTTTCTGCTGTCCTCTGTTAACACCAAAAGGCAGGGAGGCTCCTCATTACTGCTGGGTAGGGCTGGCAGTTCTGGTTCCCATGTTGTCTCTGCTGACCCCACTGGGCAGTGGTAGAAGTCCTTACTGTCCACTAGGCCTCCTCTGTCACCACCTCAGTGGCAAAGGGAGGGGAGAGTTGGCTCCTTAAATGCCTGGCCAGGAGGGGGTGTTCCTTACTGACTGGCTGGGTGAAAGGCTCAGCTCCCTGCTTAGCCGTCCCTGACAGCACTGTCGCCAGCATGCTGGGATGTCTGGTTACAGCCTTGCAAGGGTGGAAGTCTTGTCTCCCACTTTGGCCTTTGTTGACATGGGCAGAGATGGCACCCCTGTTCTTACCATGCTGTTGGGCTGGAGCCCTTGTCTTGCTAGACTGCCCCTTTCCTGCACCTTTCACTAAAGAGAGCTGGCTTTCATCAAGGCTTTGTTTATGTGTGCACGTTGGTGTTTCTGGGTGGATGTGGGTGGCAAAGAGAAAACCGGGGAATCTTACCATCATGCCTTTCCTTAGACCCCAGTGTCCCTCCAGTCTGTCACCTTCTGTCTGCCTTTCAGAGGCAGGAAGAACAACGAAAAGATCTACTCCATCTTCCCAAAAGCATAAGGCTCCAGATTTTTTTTTACAAGATTTATGTTTCCCAATTAGGGAAAACGTTGGGCTCCACTAAGTGTTGAGACTGAAATGGGATTAGAAAGTCATTCATAGAAGCCAGACACAGTGGCTACACCTGTAATTCCAGCACTTTGGAAGGCCGAGCAGGCAGATCATGAGATCAGGAGTTCAAAACCAGCCTGACCAACATGGTGAAACCCTGTCTCCATTAAAAATAATAACAATGCAAAATTAGCCGGGCCTGGTGGTGCGCACCTGTAATCCCAGCTACTCAGGGGACTGAGGCAGGAGAATCGCTTTAACCCTGGAGGCCGAAGTTGCATTGAGCCAAGACTGCACCACTGCACTTCAGCCTGGTCAACAGAGCAAGACTCCATCTCAAAAAAAAAAAAAGTCATTCATAGAAATTTGTACTGTAAAGTCACAGACTGGTACTAATCTGACAAAAACCAAACTCAGTGGTCATAACCCTAATCCTAGAAAAGCATTGCAGTCTAAAGTCACAGATAGGTACTAATCTCACAAAAACCAAACTCATTGGTCATGACCACTAATCCTAGAAGAGCATTAGAGTCTACTTATTGATAGGATAAGTTACTTATAAAGGATTGAGATGGGATAAGCATTTAGGCTTGGGTTAGTGAGTCTCAGAGCAGGTCACAGCGTTGGTATATTTCACTGTTCAGAAGGCTAAACACTGACTTGTGCAGCCTCTCAGATGCTGCTGAGCACTTGCCACATGCTGGGCACTGTGCAAGGCAATAGGGCTGGAGACTTCAGTAAGGCCTGATCCCTGCCCTTAGGTACTTAGGCTATATGATGAATAGAGCCAAGGGTGTCCATGCTGGGAGCCTGGAAAGGGGCGATCTTAGGGAGAATGTCGCAGAAGAGCTTCATGTCCAGAGGCAGACTTGAAGGATTGCATGACCTCAGTAGGTGAGGAGTCTGCTTGGAGATCGTGGGAGCAGGCAGGCAGGGTGACCAGCCTCAGGGACCCTTCATCCGGGCAGTGGTGTGAACCCGACGAACCTGGTTGCCCTACTGAAATGCCTTCTCTGCCACCAGGTTCACCTTTGGTATATTTCTCACTTGATCACTTCAAAGGAAACACACTTCTGAGTTTTTCTAAACTACTTCTCCATTCAGCTTGTGCCATCTTTATTTGGATGGGTTAATTTATATTACTGATTATGCACCAGTTAAGCTGTGGTTCCCGTAAGGCTGGGAGACATCCTGTCTCCTCCATTGTGCATTGAGTTCATTAATTCATCTTTGAGAGGACAGCCCCCCTCTGAATTCTGTTTTTTTAATTGGCAAATAATAATTGTATATGTTATACAATGACTGGCCCTGATAGGTCGAGGGTGAAGCATGTGGAAGAGCTAGGGATAGGCTGGAGCAGACACTGGTAAGATAGGTGAGTCCAAATTTGTACTTTATCCTGTAGAAAATAAGGGACGGGATAACATTTCTAAGCTTTAAAAAATGTTTCAAAAGGAATTCAGGGCTAATTGACAATGTAGAAAACGAGTGGGGCAGGAAATGATGCTCAGCAGGGAGACAAGGCCATTGTGGACAGCCAGGCAACACTTGAGGAAACCCTGGACTCACGGAGTGGCAGTGGAGGTATGTGAGAAAGGAATTTGAGGTTTTACTGATTGATGGTAAAATTGCATTGTTTAGATCATTTCTTCCAGGTGACTCAGAATTCCCCAAATTCTGCTCCAAATGATACCATCTAGCCACCTGAGATTCCCAGGGGACAGAGAAATAGTAAATGAGGTACTACATATTCACCAGCAATTCCCCCAACATAGGTCTCTGATAAACCTGGATAGAAGTTATACCTAAAAACCAGGGGATTATTTTTTGTTTGGTTGGTTATTTATTATTTTTTTAATATGTATTTTATTGCGTTTTAGGTTTGGGGGTACATGTGAAGAACATGCAAGATTGTTGCATAGGTACATACATGGCAATGTGGTTTGCTGCCTTCCTCCCCATCACCTATATCTGGCGTTTCTCCCCTATTTATCCCTCCCCAACTCCCCACCTCTCACTGTCCCTCCCCTAGTTCCCCCCAACAGACCCCAGTGTGTGATGCTCCCCTCCCTGTGTCCATGTGTTCTCATTGTTCAATACCCACCTATAAGTGAGAACATGTGGTGTTTGATTTTCTGTTCTTACGTCAGTTTGCCGAGAATGATGGTTTCCAGATTCATCCATGTCCCTACAAAGGACACGAACACATCGTTTTCGATGGCTGCATAGTATTCCATGGTGTATATGTGCCACATTTTCCCTGTCCAGTCTGTCATCAATGGACATTTGGGTTGGTTCCAGATCTTTGCTATTGTAAACAGTGCTGCAATGAACATTTGCGTACATGTGTCCTTATAATAGAACAATCTGTAGTCCTTTGGTTATATACCCAGTAATGGGATTGCTGGGTCAAATGGAATTTCTATTTCTAGATTCTTGAGTAATCGCCACACTGTCTTCCTCAGTGGTTGAACTAATTTACGCTGCCACCAACCGTGTAAAAGTGTTCCTATTTCTCCACATCCTCTCCAGCATCTGTTGTCTCCAGATTTTTTAATCATCACCATTCTAACTGGCGTGAGATGGTATCTCAGTGTAGTTTTGATTTGCATTTCTCTAATGACCCGTGATGATGAGCATTTTTTCATATGTTTGTTGGCCTCATATATGTCTTCTTTGTAAAGTGTCTGCTCATATCCTTCGTCCACTTTTAAATGGGCTTGTTTTTTTCTTGTAAATCCGCTTTAGTTCTTTGTAGATTCTGGATATTAGCCCTTTGTCAGATGGGTAGATTGCAAAAATTTTTTCTCATTCTGTTGGTTGCCGATTCACTCTAATGATTGTTTCTTTTGCTGTGCAGAAGCTCTGGAGTTTGTTTAGGTCCCATTTGTCTATTTTGGCTTTTGTTGCCAATGCTTTTGTTGTTTTAGTCATGAAGTCCTTGCCTATGCCTATGTTCTGAATGGTTTTGTGTAGGTTTTCTTCTAGGGTTTTTAGGGTATTAGGTCTTATGTTTAAGTCTTTAATCCATCTGGAGTTAATTTTAGTGTAAGGTGTCAGGAAGGGGTCCGGTTTCTGCTTTCTGTACATGGCTAGCCAGTTTTCCCAACACCATTTATTAAACAGGGAATCTTTTCCCCATTGCTTGTTTTTGTCAGGTTTGTCAAAGATCAGATGGTTGTAGTTGTGTGGCGTTGCCTCTGAGGCCTCTGTTCTGTTCCATTGGTCTATATCTCTGTTTTGGTACCAGTACCAGGCTGTTTTGATTACTGTAGCTTTGTAGTATAGTTTGAAGTCAGGTAGTGTGGTGCCTCCAGCTTCGTTCTTTTTGCCTAAAATTGACTTGGCTATGCAGTCTCTCTTTTGGTTCCATATGAAGTTTAAGGTGATTTCTTCCAGTTCTGTGAAGAAGGTCACTGGTAGCTTGATGGCGATAGCATTGAATCTGTCAATTACTTTGGGCAGTATGGCCATTTTTACAATATTGATTCTTCTTAACCATGAGCATGGAATGTTTCTCCATCTGTTCGTGTCCTCTTATTTCGTTGAGCAGTGGTTTGTAGTTCTCCTTTAAGAGGTCCTTTACATTATTTGTTAGTTATATTCCTAGGTATTTTATTCTCTTTGTAGCAATTGTGAATGACAGTTCGTTCTTGATTTGGCTCTCTTTAAGTCTGTTATTGGTGTATAGGAATGCATGTGATTTTTGCACATTCATTTGTATCCTGAGACTTTGCTGAACTTGCCTATCAGTTTCAGGAGATTTTGGGCTGAGACAATGGGGTCTTCTAGATATACAATCATGTTGTCTGCAAATAGAGACAATTTGACTTCCTCCTTTCCTATTTGAATGCCCTTTATTTCTTTTTCTTGCCTGATTGCTATGGCTAGAACTTCTAGTACTATATTGAATAGGAGTGGTGAGAGAGGGCATCCTTGTCTAGTGCCAGATTTCAAAGGGAATGCTTCCAGTTTTTTGCCTATTCAGTAGGATATTGGCTGTGGGTATTTATTTATTTATTAAGAAAAGGTCTCACTCTGTTAACCAGGATGAAGTGCAGTGGTGCAATCATAACTCTCTATAACCTCAAACTCCTGGGCTCAAGAGATCCTCCTGCCTCAGCCTACTGAGTGGCTGGGATTAGGGGCACACGCTACCAGACCTGTATAATTTTTGTATTTTTAGTAGAGATAGGGTTTCATCATATTGGCCAGGCTGGTCTCCAACTCCTGACGTCAAGTGATCTGCCCACCTCGGCCCCCCAGAGTGCTGAGATTATAGGCATGAGCCAAATTAACCCTTTGTTACTCTGGTTTTCAGTTTAACTATTGGTCTGTTAGGTAATTTTTTCTCCTTTATTTGTCTATTTATAGCTTCACATTTTGAGTTTAGTTTTTGAAAATTCAGGCCGGGCAGGGTGGCTCACACCTGTAATCCCAGCACTTTGGGAGGCCAAGGCAGGTGGATCACGAGGTCAGGAGTTCAAGACCAGACTGGCCAACATGGCGAAACCCCATCTCTACTAAAAAAAAATACAAAAATTAGCTGGACATGGTAGCTTGTGCCTGTAATCCCAGGTACCTGGGAGGCTGAGGTAGGAGAATTGCTTGAACCGGGACCAGGGAGGTGGAGGTTGCAGTGAGCCAAGATCGTACCACTGCACTCCAGCCTGAGCTACAGAGCAAGACACCATCTCAAAAAAAAAAAAAAAAAAAAGAAAAAAGAAAATTCATTTCCAGCCATTTTGTATTTGTTATGGAAGTTTCAGGTTATTGTAAATATAGATTATTTATACAGATTTACTGTCCCTTACCCAGTGAACCTAAGCATGATAAAATTGTATAATTGCATATGAGAAGTTTATTATATGAGGAACTGATGATCTTGGTTGTATGGGAAATTTTGAGGTATTCTCACCATGGGCTGTTGAACTCTCTGAATGTACGAAACCCCAGAGCTCATGGAGCAAAGCAGGACACTCCCCTTCCCAACTACAGTGGTGGGGAGAAGCTCTGGCTCCTTGATGTAGGTCAGGGGCCTGGTTTGGTTTGGTTTGGTTTGGTTTGTTCTGGTCTGGTTTGGTTTGGTTTGAGGTAGGGTCTTGCTGTTTTGTCCAGGCTGGAGCACAGTGGCACAATTATAATT